AACATTGGGTGGGCAGCCAATGGACCAGCAATAACTGCCTGCCTTAAATCAGTCAACTCGTACATGCATAAGATCCTTACCCATAATGAACAAGCATGACACACTTTGTAATAGTAGGGTTTATATCAAATATTTTCTCATTCTACACTCAGCGTATTTCCACTTGCCACAAAAATGTTGCCGAGCGTTACTTCTTTTGTTTTTATTTAGCATTGCTTTAATTTGCATAATGAAATCATGTAAGATTTTACATGTATAAAATATAAATCAATCCAATTGAGTAAAATGTCTTAAACTATTCTATAACTTTATTCAGACACGCATTTTCCTTGCCGGAATCATTAGCTCAGAATGCCCCCTAATATGATGCCACCTGAGGGTTCTGAGTGGGAAATGGCAAAAGGTGAGCCGCAGACATGTAGGAAGACCCGGAGTTAGAACGCTTATTCCACCAAGGAACAGATAATGTAGGACAAGGCAGCTGCAATAAAAATAGGGGGAAGGTCAGGTCTGGTGACTCCCACCTTTAATCCCAGCACCTTGAAGATTAAAGGCAGGCAGATCACCTGAGGTCAAAAGTTGGAGACAATCCTGGCCAACATAGTAAAACCCCAACTCTACTAAAAATACAGAAAGTAGCTGGAGTGGTGGCACATGCCTGTAGTCTCAGCTAATTGTGAGGCTGAAGCAGGAAAATCGTTTGAGCCCAGTAGGCAGAGGCTGCAGTGCGCTGAGATCGCACCACTGCACTTCAGCCTGGGCAACAGAGTGAGACTGCATCTCAAAAAAAAAAAAAGAAAAAAAATAGGGGGAAAAAGTCCAGAAAGAAAGATATTTAGGAGCTCAAGTGACATAAACTTTTGACCAGATAGGAACCGATTACTGCATCATACAAGGCCTGGGCTTTGGATGAGGTATACCTGAGTCTGAGTCATGGTCTTTCTGTTCACTAATTGAGGTTTTGAGCAAGTGATTTTTCCTTCCTAAACCTGAGTTTCATCCAATATGAAATAGGAATAAATAAGAATGCTCAGTAGTAGTAGTTTTAAATATTAAATGATGTAATATATAACATGTCTGTTATATATTCTCACCTGTTGGGTATTGAATAAATAAAATAGTAGCTAGATATGATGGTGATCATGATGCTTGTTTCTAGGATAGAAGACAAGTAGATGATATTCAATGAATATATGAAATACAGTGGAAGATGAGGCTGGGAGGGAACTGTAACAAGTTCATTTTTAGACTGCACTGTATTTTATTTGTGTTTATTACATCCCTGTACAATGTAGAACACAATGTTGGACACAGAGGATTCTCTGTCCAGTGCACCTCCCTGACTCTGAGAACTGCCACCCTTCCCTGCCAACATGGGTCACTCTCAAATTCACCCAAGTTATAACAAGAGTACTTGGCCACCCTAAGCCTCAGTTTCGTCACCTGAGATGGAGACAATGCCACCAACTCACAATATAAATAGAAAATGTATCTAAAACACGTAACTACCAGCTACATAGATAATCAATTTTCTTTTAATTCTTGCCTTTCTTTCATCTTAAATGAACACTCCAAAATTCTCAGTAGATTTTGAAGGAGGAGTTCCAGTTGATTCAGTTTATAGACCAGTAAGAGTTCTAATTCCAGAAGTTTAAGAATTCTAATTCCAGTTATTTATACAGGGCCTCTGCAAACCAAGATCCATATGGATTGAAATACAACTAATGTTACTTTGTTAACGCAATTAATACTTTATCTCTACTACTTATTAAAATTGATATCATGGCTTTTAGCTATCCCTTACATTACATAATTTGTGGATCAGTTCTCTCACCAGGCTTGCTAAAGCAGCGTACTGTGATCAGGTTCACTCACTGTAAATATCCACCAAATTTGCTGTTAGAGGAAGCCTGCAATACCTTATCTTGCTGATAAACCAATGGGGAGGACTCACATTTTATCCGTGTTTTTCCCTACCTAGTGCCTCACTTATAATAAACATTCAGCAAATGCTTTGCAAATAAGTAAGGCAGATAACTTTTAGAAGAAACTTCACCCCCCAAAATTCAGTTCACATGGGGAGCAATATTTCAAAGACCTAAATGCAATCTAGGATAAAGGGAATGAATACTACTATATCACTTCCAGCAAAATGATTCACTATTATGAGACTATCCAAATGTAATTAACTAATTAAAAAAATACATGCATCTCTCCAATTTTCCATTTTTTAACCAGTAATACAAGATGGCAAATCAAAACCATTGATCATTCCCAGGTCACATTTTGACTTGCTAAAACAGCAGTCCTTCATATTTTCAAAGGATAAAACTCCATTAGTGAAAGGAAATTCTTCTATGCCACAAAATTCTGAAGAAAACAGTAGAGAGGCTGTAAAAAAATTGTATAGAATATTTCCATATCCCTTTACTCAATATTGATTTAATTAATGCTGACACTCATGGCTAAATAAAGAAAAAAATTTTTAAAGAATGCTGTGGCTATTAAAATAGTTGCAAAAAATAATGAAGCATAAATGAAAATATAGGTATTGATAATTAACATACAAAAAAGAACAAAAATATCACTGTCACTGTCCACATGAGCCTTCACTCCTGAAAGCCCAGAAAGCAAGAGCCAAAGCTACCTATTGAAGAGGCCAAAAAATGACTGTCAAGTCAGGAATAACTTCCCATGTCCTGCTGATGTTTAAGATTCTAAATACTAAAGAATACATTAATAATGTACCGTCTTGGTTCATGTCATTTAGCAAATTTACTCTCTAGAATATGAAATCCTACTGATTATATCAGCACCAAAATATATAAAAGTGACAGAGAATGAAGCTTTAAGATAGCCTCCCAGTGATATGTATCTGATTATGATACACCACATCTCACTTTCCAACCCACATCTATATAAAGACAAAATCTGAATCACATGGAAAAGCAAGCTATTAGCAAACAATTTGCAAGAGTCTGAGAAAATTTCTATAGACTAGATAACATTTCAGTTTTAAACATAATCAGTGACCTATACCTATCCTCAAAAATGTCATCTTATAAGTTGGTATAACTAACCAAGTTCAGAAATATGGAGTATACAACTTACAGGAAAATGGTCAGCCATACCCATCTCTTTGCAGAAAGTGTAGAAGCTGGATTTCTGTATATGGCTCTTCCATAAGTCAGTGTGAAGAAGGACAATATAATCTCTTATCTTGCTGAAAATGAATGAGCAAGATCCATGTCATATTTATATTGTGCCCTACTTAATATCTCACTCATAATAAACACAACAAATGCTTTACAAATGAAGAAGATAACGTCTATAAATCAGTGTGATCAAGGGCAGAGACACCAGACATAGTGACTGGAATTTCACTGGAAAAATTACAGCATGACTCCAATTATTTGAAAAATAAAATGGCCCACTAATATTCAGGAAAGACTGAATATTAGTCAAAAGGCCCACATTAGACATATGCATTCTAGACCTAATTTGGACCAGGCATGTGCTCATTAGTATGTAATTCAGCTTCAGATCTGGGGCAGGGGTTGCAGGGCAGGCAATTCTTCTTTCACTCAGATGTACTGTGCAGAAGGCTAAATCCAATCCATACAGTACTCTCAGTCATCTGAACACATAAAATCCCAGGAAGGCAAGGCCAGCTTGCCTCTCCTTACCATCTGTTCACTCTCCCAGCTTCAGGGAACTTCAGAGAGTAGTTAGACCAGGTACCTCACAAACATTTGACCTCTGCCTAGATCTCTTCTCTGAGGTAGGACTTGAATATCACACTGTTCATAGGACATAGGAGTTCCAAAACTAAATTTTTGATCTTCGCTCAACCACTTCTTCTCCCAGTGTTAGCTACCTCTGTGAATGCCACCAGCATCCAATAAATAACTCAATATAGAGAACTAGAAGTTATCTAAGACTCCTCCACTGCCCTGGATTACATATCTAACCTTTATCAATCTTATCCATTTTGCCTCCCAAATATCCCCCATTTTTCTCCATCTCCATTATTCCCGCAGTACCAAGCTAAGGTCATCTTTCTCCACTAACATATCACTTCCCAACTGATCAAGCAATAACCACACTGCAAACCTCTTTCATACAACTTATTCTTCCCTGCATAACCAGAGTGGTCCTTTCAAAATTCAAATCCAGTGGCACTACCCTGATATGGTTTGGCTCTGTGTTCCCACCCAAAAATCATCTCAAATTGTAAACCCCTACATGTTGAGGAAGGGACCTGTAATCCCCAAGTGTCAAGGGAAGGAGGTTACTGGATCATGGGAGCAGTCCTCCGTGATGTGCTCATGATAGTAAGTGAGCTCTCATGAGACCTGATGGTTTTATAAGTGTTTGACTGTTCCTCCTTCACATGATGCCTCACCTGCCACCCATGTAAGACATCCTTCCTTCCCCTTTTACCATAATTGTAAGTTTCCTGAGGCCTCACCAGCCATGCAGAACTGTGAGTCAACTAAACCTCTTCTCTTTATAAATTACCCAATCTCAGGTAGTTCTTTACAGTGTGAAAATGGACTAATTACACTATCCCATCTCCGTCCCACTGCCATCCTCCCTAAGGCCCTATAGCACATTGCTGTTGCCCTCAGAATCAAGACCAGACTGCTTCCAGGGTCCATACCACCTTCTGGGGTTTTGTCCCCAGCTAGTTTATATCACACACCCCTCCTCTTCCTTTCTCTATCACATTTCACATTTACTTTTTTTTTTTTTTTCATTTCAACCTTCCATTACTTTTACCCTCTCATGCTCCCTCACCCCACAAAGCTTTTGTACATTCTGTGTCTCCTTCCTGGAACATTTTACCTCCCTCTGCATCTAGGTCTTTGCCTGAGCTCAGGTTCCCTAAAAAGCCTGGTCTGAGGCAATGAGTAAAAATGCTGCTATTTTGTTTAAGGAAGTGCAAACTCACGGCAAGAAGATGATGAAAATAGCAAAGAAGGGAGGGCTGAGAAGCAATGCAAAGTGAGGTATACCATCCTGGCCACAGCTTCCCAAGTTAGGCCCTTTGCCGGGTGCGCCCCTGTGGCCGTGAGGGACATCTCAGAGAGGCTGCAGAGGTATGTAAGATCTCTTGCCTGAAACAGTTTGTTCATCAGAGAAAGGGAGAAGAGGAAATGAATCTTCTGAGCTCTTCCAAGGTCTTTTTTCCTAATTACTCAATTTTCCCCCGACAGGGAATTAATTCATTCATAGTTTCAGATTGTGACTTCCAGCCTCATTATTTGGGGAGACAGGCTGCAACCATAGTTAATTATTTTATCCAAACCTTGAAATAATGTATAAACACATAAAAAACAACAACAACAGAAACTCAGGGTGCGTGGCTAGTTAGACTGGCTCTAGGAGGCAGCCAAGGGGAGAGTCTGACCTGAGGTGGAAGCTGGTCACCTTTAGGCAGGAGCACAGGTCAGCCAAGGCTGAGGCCTAATTAGAGGATCCAGTGGAGCATTAAGTCAACAGTGATGCACTCTTAGAATGTGGCTACACCCCTTGTGACCACAATAATGGTATTTACAACCATTCTAAGGACACAGAAAATGTGTTCATAGTGTTAAGACAAAGTGGTATATAAAACTGTGTATAAATGAAACTACGTTTTAATTATAATCTTTAATTCTGTTACAATTCTTTTTTTCCCAAGAGTATGCATTAACTTTACAGTTTAAAAAAAAATGGAAGAAAACAGTATCTCAAGAAGAAGGATCAACAGATTGCACAGTAATGACTCAGGAAAGTGCAAGCTTTGTAGGGACCAGGAACACCCAGGCTGGCAAGAAGCCAAAACAGGAGGGAGGGAAGGGGCACAGCCCAGGAGCAACATCAGGAGGCTATGACCACTTTCTGAAGAATCTTGTATCTGCAATTCCTTAGCTTCTCTATCTGTAAATTTCAAACAAGACCTTCATTTGGATATAATGAAGAGAAAGTGAAGACATGCATCTGGAAGCTGACTCAGAAACCCTGACGTTCTTCCTACATTTTCTTTCTAACTACTGCCACATAGAAACATGTCCTACGACTTTTCATCACAGGGACTATGGTCTTTTACAAATTTATCTTCTTTTCTGAAGCTTCCCTCTAACTAACTTTATTTGACATTGCAGTACTAAATAATAGATGTGAAAATTTTCACATCTGTACTGGAAAAAGTATGTTACAAAATAAAGTTGTATAATGCCTCCAGCTATCATTATAACTGAACAGCAGAGAATAGTTCAAAATATTTTCAAAAAAGATTGTTAGGAAAGATTCGCACTTCAACACTGGTTTTTCTTTTAGTGTTGGGATGTTTTTGCACTTTCCAAATTTTCTACAACTAGCATAAGTTTTTCGTAATTCAAGAATTATCTATTCTAATATCTATAATAAAATGATCTATCAATTTAAGACATGTTTTTAAATGGTGATGGGCAATAGTAATAACAAGAGGTGGCTCTGGCATTCTCATAATATTAGAAAATATATCCAGTCTATTTGGGAAACAATTATATCACTTGGGAAACAACTGGAAAAGTATATTATCACTTTTAAATCATTACACTCATTGGTGCAGTAATTTTTTTTTAAACAGACTCTCACTCTGTCACCCAGCCTGGAGTGCAATGGCACAATCTCAGCCCACTGCAACCTCCACATCCCGGGTTCAAGCAATTCTCGTGCCTCAGCCTCCCAAGTAGCTGGGACTACAGGCATGTGCTACCATGTCCAGCTAATTTTTGCATTTTTTAGTAGAGATGGGGGTTTTTCCATGTTGGCCAGGCTGGTCTCAAACTGCTGGCCTCAAGTAATCCACCCGCTTCAGCCTCCCAAAGTGCTGGGATTACAGGTGTGAGCCACTGCACCTGGCCTGGTGCAGTAATATTATACTACCAAAATTCTCCCCCCAAAATAATTTTAAATGTTGGTAAAGTTTTATGCACAGAGAAATGTGGATTACCATTTCTCATATGATCTTGAAAATAAAAAAAATTATAAAATATCCCCAAACTGTATAATATAAATGATTACATAAATATATCCTTATTTTCACCATCAAAAAGCCGCTAGAAATTAAATTTATTAAAAAAGAACTTTAAGTTTTAATCATGGAAATGTTTGCATATTTGCAAAATACAGAGAATAGAATAAATTCCATAGTTTCTATCAGCTAGCTTCAACAATTATTAACACAGTACCAGACTTACTTCATTCATACTCCTACTTACTTTGCCTCTCTCAAGTATATATTTTAAAGTAAAATCCTGACATATTATTATATCTATAAATTCCTCAGCATGTGTGCTTCCAAGATAAAACTTTCAGAATATGATAATGTTATTATACTGAAAAATTAATCATTATTAACATAAAATATCTAGTCAACTTTACAAATAGTTTTTATTTTTCTCTGTGACAGAGGAATTTTAATTCTTCTAATGACATGGAAATGCATAGAAGGGGAAATGCCAGATACAAATCTGTATATGCAACATTATTCAAATACACGCAAACAAGTGTGCAAATAGATTGGACACATGCCTTCATTAACTGAATATCTGTAACTTCAGCGGTTCATGAGCCCCCTTGTCTTCTCACATTTCTGATCTGTCACATGTACTACCTGGAGTCGCACCTCTATGAGTGTATATGTGAGTATGGGAACATGAGTGGGCACTCAGTGGGTTAACCAAGCCCATCCTTCAGCATGTGCTTTCCAAATGAGTTTTGCTGTTCACAAAATCACTGTACATGTACTTTATGGAAAGACATATATGTAGATTTGGGGATTTCCAAAATCTTTGTAAAATTTTCTTCTCAAATGTCATAGACCAGCACAGCAAAATGTTTAATAAAGTTCATTTTCTGTTAAAGAGATCATGCTTTCCAGTTTATCAAATGCTTATTTTTTCTTCTATTTAATAAACCAGAGCCAATATATTATTACCACATGAAATTTTTGTGAATAAAATTAGCCAGTGCTTTCCAGTCACCTACTATTATGCCTGCAGCACAGAGAACACACTAGAAATGGAGATAATTATGGGGCCAAGTATTATGTTTATCCCTGGACTAAAAAAAGAATATATGTCACTAGCTTTCCATCTAAGAGAAATGGATTGAGTAAACTGTATTTATTTTCCCTACTTTACCACATATCTGAGCATTACTTTTTACAGATATCAAACTATATGATCTAATTATAAGCCACATATAAATAACCTACTTGTTTTTTTACCCAAGCCTGTGTACTCCTTGCTTATATTGCTTTGAGCTTAACCCTCTTAAATCCTCCACATTTCTCAACTACTAAAGGGTATTATTTCTCCATTCCATATAACATCCAAGGAGGAAATATCTAATATTGTGTGTATTTTCAAAACTGAATTAAAAAGCAAGTAAAGAAAATTAGTAATGAGTGACTAGATGCCTTGTTAAGCTGTAATTCAGGCTTCTCCAATTGAACCTAAATAACAGATATGTTGCCTGCAAATAATTATTTTAGATGAAGATATTCTAAAGACCTATATTTACATGTATCTAGCTATAATATATTCTATTAGTGAATATATCATGGAAGACAGCTTAGATTTTGAGTTTGAATTTTTAAAAAAATCTATTATTACAACAGAAGGAGGAAATCAAAGGTCATGTCCCAGCTTTTGCTTTACCTGTATGACAGAGCGACCCCCATGAGCCAATCTTCCCTTCAGGGCCTTATGACTCAATAGTGATTGTGAAGGACATCGCTATCTATTAAATATACTATATTTGGATCATAAAGCAAGTAGTGTAAGCTGTCGAATATAATTTAGAAAATGTAGTGGTTTGCAAATATGACTTTTAAAAATAGTATAAAATAAGTATATTCTTAACAGTGCTTGTCAAGAGGGAAAAGAAATTGCCAGCCTGCTGTCTTTAGAAAGTATATGTGTCACAATGACTCTCAATAGGTGATGTGCTTATATGCACAAATGTGGTGTGTGTGTGTGTGTGTGTGTGTGTGCATGTGCGAGCACACGTGTGTGTTGTAGAAGGAGAGGAAAAGAAGTACTTAGCAGAATCATCTGGAGACATTTCAAAATATACCTTCCTTCTTTCAATTAGGGCTTCATCCTACAAACATTTATCAAGTGTCCATTAGGAACAGACATCTTTTGGTATGTGCAACACTCCTATCCTTTAATATCACCCCTTCAACAAGACACATATTCATGGATGTATTGGTTCCATCTCTGGAGGTGAGAAATAGTGTATGCTGTGCTTAATCTGTTTATCTCTACAAAAGTCTTCCTTATCTTCAACTAATTAAAGACTCTTCCATGCAATATCCAAGGAGGCGATCTATTAACACATCTATTTTCAAGCTAGAAAACAAAAAAGTGAGACACCAAAAATTTGAGACACTTCTTCAAGATTACACAGCTAGTCATTAGTAAAGGTAAAGATTTGGGCTCCAAAGAGCAGATGAGAATACATACTATGGACAGGCAGATGACCCTGGGGGACAGAGAAAAATGAAGCCAGCAGGACTGAGCCAAGCACGGCCCATTCTTCCTTCTCATCAGTTAGGGAAGGGACATGCCTCCTTCTCCTGGAGGAATGTCCAGGATGAGGGGCAGAGGGCAGTGTTACCCAAATACAAGTCCCTCCAAAGGGAAACACCAGCCCATGATTTAAGATTCCCCTAACAGCAAATACTTGTTTTGAGGGGCAACAAGTACCTGGACAAGTACTAGAGTAGTGTGCAAAGTAAGGTTCGGTTTGTGGACTCTTCTTGAAAGATGGAATGCATATTTCCTCTAGCCTCCCTGTTTAATCAAGCCTTATTATGCCAAGTTTACTTGATACTTAAGAGAGAGAAAACTTTAGAAACCCAAATTAGCACACTTAGCACAGCCTATCTAAGGAAGAAAATTCAGTGTGTCCACATGGCTGTGCTCTCAACTCCTTCCTATTGATTGTATACAGTGTACGTATAATCTCTCCATCTCTCTCCTCATGCCAGCACATAGCAAAGCACTCTGGCTCTCTCCCATGGGACTCTCTGTGAGAACAGCCATGACAAGGTCATCCTCCTTCGCTCAAGACTACTTTTAAAATCCCAGTGTGTGTGTATTTCTATACATGTGTATGTTCTATTATGCGTGTATCATTACCTCCTTTTTTTTTTTTTTTTTTTTTTGGAGAGGGAGTCTCACTGTGTCTCCCAGGCTGGAGTGCAGGGGTACGATCTCGGCTCACTGCAACCTCCGCCTCCCAGGTACAAGCAATTCTGTCTCTGTCTCCCAAGTATCTGGGATTACGGGTGTATGCCACCACACCAGGCTAATTTTTGTATTTTTAGTAAAGATGAGGTTTCGCCACATTGGCCAGGCTGGTCTCCAACTCCTGACTTCAAGTGATCCACCTGCCTGGGCCTCCCAAAGTGCTGGGATTACAGGTGCGAGCCACTGCGCCTGGCCTCCTCTTTAATTATTATCAGCACTTCCTACACCAGATTTCACACTACAAATCTGTTTTCTTTTCCTTAAAAAACATGTAAATAGGCCTGTTAGAGATTCAAAGAAAACTGGAATCTTCCACAAAGGTTAATAAAATAGTTATGACATATAAAACATATGGGGATTATCCATTGATTTTCATGTAATATCTACGGCAGTTAGCTCCAGAATTCGGAATTGGCTTCTCAATTACTTTCAGGATAATTTTGAAGTCTAAAAGGACGGAAAAAAATTAAAATTGTCATCCTCCAAGAAAAAGCTCCAGGAGTCCCAACGTCCCCAAACACTCACTCTCATTTAGGTAATTATAAAGTGCACTAAATGAGTGACTTAAATGAAAAATAGTAATAATTCCACAATTACAAAATAATACAGATTGTATACAAATTTTTGTAGGCTCTTTCCCCCCATATTCCAGAGCAAAACTGAGCCACTGTCTAAACTCTATTGGTCTCCTCCTCTGAGACAATGTATAACATCGCAGCATGAATCCAGCAGGGTGCAGGACATCACACACAGAGATTGCTGCTTCTGAAAGGTTTTCAGGTGCCCAAAGACAGGCTGCAGGTGGTGCTGTAAAATTCAGAAAAGCACCGGAATATCATACATCCTGATTCAACCATTCTATCTGTACAAAGAAAAGGGGATCCTTGCATAGCATAAATTGATTTGTTTCTATGCTGACTCTTATTTTATCAATGGCCTGTGGGCACATGCAAATATTTTTAGCTAGGTCAGTATCACATGCATACACACCACACACGGCAGACAAAAATTGCCACCTACCAACCTTCTTTAAATAAAAAAATTCAAACAAGTCAAAACCAAAGATGGTCACGGAAAATGAATGTGTTGTTATAATTAGGTAATGCTTTCGTAATTCCATTTGGATATTTTCCACAAACTGCAAGTAGGTTAAATTCCAAAGCAAGATCTGCATTTCTCCCAAATGCAGGTGTAGCTGCAGCCTGAGGGAGAGGCATCTCCCTGCCGCAGCCAGTTCCCGGGAGGTCTGCATTATACTCTGAGCCAGGTCTCCCTCTACCTTTCCAAGAAATCCCCAGCTGACCTCAGAAAGAATCACACAGCCTCTTTTCAGAGAAAATAACAAGCCAAACCATTAAATTAGATGACGGCACATTTATCTTCATTTTAATCTGAATGTGAATTATCAAGTTATCTAATAGAGTAAAGCTTTCGTGTTTGCATGCCTAAGTTATCCCCATTGATTTTACTATTATCATTAGCATATTGCTTGAAGGACTGAGCCAAAACATCCGGAAAAAAAGCATAAGAGTAAGTATGAATCTCCTCTAAATTTTTGTTTACGTCTCACAATTATTGTTTTTAAAAAGCAAATTCATCAACACAAAATTTTATAACTAAATGTTAGACAATAAATTCAATGTTAAACTTGGACTACTTTCAATTAGAACTATATTAACGCAACTCAGTTCACAGTCCCCGTTTTACTTTGTCAGATCAGAACCACCCATCAAAATGGAGGCCTGCAAGTAAGAGGAGGAAGAGGGAGGAGACAGAACACAGAAATCTTCTCAGTGGCTTTGCTGACAGGCGGGTAGGAGTCACTACCCGCCATTTGCACGTAAGTGTTTTTGTTCCTCTTGTTTATGGGTCCTATTTACGCATGTGTGCCCAGGTATGTATTAAGTACATCAGAATTTAATTTTCTATATATAATCAACACATCCCACAAAAGGTTTGAGGTAGGTGCCATTCACATTAAAGAATGTACATAAGTCACTCTTAAAAGCTGAGAACCTTCTAAACACACACACACACACACACACACACACACACACACACACACAAAGGGCACCTGGTTGCAGAAGTTGCCCAAAATGTGGTCACCAATGATTGGACAGTAAGAATCAAAGAAGCTCAGGAAAGACAGTTTATTTCTAGCCACTGTGGTCCAGAAGGCACAACAGAGAAAAGGGAGCTGAGAGGACCCTGATGTGATGTTAGGGTAGGTGAAGAAACGTGCAGAAAGAAGACAAATGACAAATAGTTGAAAGAGGAAAAAAAGTACATGATGCAAACACTTCAATGTGCTCACCATTATTTCTACGACTTATACTACTATTTGTATTATTTATGTACATTAAAGACCTGTTTTGGAACACATTCAAGGTAAAAACTTAAAGCAGCAAATAAGAAAGTTAGTGTGATTGGAGCAAATGTTTGTGAAAGGAGTACTAATCACAAATAAGACTAAAAATAAAAACTGGACCCAAACTTTGGAGAACTGGAAATCCAAAAATAATAATGTGCTTAGATTTTAACCTATAGGTAACAGGAGTCATTAAAGGGTTTTATGCTGTAACTTATGTAAAAGAGAGATGTTTCCAAAGTGCCAAAGTGTTGACTTGGTAGTGGTGTTAGGAGGAATAAAACTGGGAAAAGAAGACAACTTCAATCAGATAAATGAGGTGTGTTCATTCCAATGCAAGACAAATAAAATTTTTATGAAATTCTCTACTTCAGTTTTGAAAAAGACCAATGGATGTTGACAAATCAAGGCATAAAACAAAGTTCGAGGCATCAGGGTCAGAAATATGTCTGTGGTATTTCTTTCAGTCAGACAGTTCAGGGGCAGGGCCCTGTTCAATAATTAAACATTTGTTCTCAATGCACTCTATTGTGTCACTCCAGAATATACAGGAAGCAAAAAAGACAATTGTAGGTCACTCGATTTCAATTGGAAAAGAATTTTGACCAATGAAGTAAGCACACAAGTAATTTCTCCCAAAATTTTTGCAGAGTAGCTGGAGTCAGTGCTGTGAGTGCGCCTGAGAGCAGTAAGGGGACACACTATGGTGGCATGTGCTGGCAGGTGCTTGAGCCTGCATGCTGCTGCAAAGTGAGGATTGCAAATCACACACTTGGGAGGGAGCTGACACCTTATCCTGAGATGCCAAGGCCAGCATGGCCAAGGTTTCTCTTGCACGGCTGTGACCCAGAAGACACATCTGATCAGGCACAAAGCTAAGACTTCTGCTAAGGTCAGTCAGACCAGGAAATACTGTTTGACTCCATCGTGTTGAGGGCCTCAAAGAGCCTCCTGCTTATCCAGCTTTGCTTAATACCTCCCAGGCTCCAAAATGATCAGGTGACTCTACCACTCATATCCCAGCCATGATGTCATCCCCACCTCCATCTGACTATATCCTTTCAGGTATTAGAAAGGAAACAACCTATTTATTTTCAATTAATTATGAAAAATACTTAATTTGTTATTTGTACCATCATCTCATTACATGAAGGACTTGAGCCAGATTTCAGAGATATGTATAAGAAAATGGGATGATAAATAAGTTGGAAATTTGAAGAAAAAAATGAAGGAAGGAAAATAAGATGATATAAATAAAAGTCATAAAAAGATGATATTACAATATAAAGTATGGGTTGAAGATCCATTGAATCAGGCTAATTGGAAGAGACTGGATATTAAAGCTTTAGAAACAAGTAAATGTGAGATTGGCTGATAAGTCTATGGATCTGTATTCACTGCAGGTCATTGGAAGAACTGAACTGAAAGTAAAATGTAAGTCAGTAAAATACCCAGAATAGAAAGAGATAAGTAGTTAAGATAAATGAGAAAATCTAAGCAGAGCTTGCTATGGTGATTGCTGAGAAAGAGGAATCATGACTCCACCGTGCATTCTCATGGGGACAGGGACCCAGCAGGAACAGTTCACAAAGCAGGTGGGATGAAGTGGAATTTGAAATTTTTCCAACACATCTATGGCTACCTAGTCCAGGTCACAGGCTGGGGAATGTAAGTCTAAAATTTTCCAAATCTCTCTCTGAGCCTCTTGGCAACCAAAGCAAAGTAAAGAGGAAAATCATGAGATTGCAGCAGTATTTCACAAACTGGTATCTGACTGATGCTGTTCGGCCAGACATTAATTATCATGTCCCACATACCACACACATGATGTAAGAAATATTTGCAAATTCAGGATTTAAATAAAGTGAATGTTTGTTTCTTCTTAACTGTTCAACTACACATAGCCATCAATGTGATGGTTACTATATAAAGGGGCCAGCAAGCTTTTTCCATGTGTCACTTACTGGTCTGCTTAGAAAAGGACTCTGCAGAGCAGAGTTTGGGAAGTAACGACTTAAAAAACTAATGATGGAAAACCCTCAAAAAACTGTGTATAGAAGAAAGATACCTCAACAAAATAAAAGTTATAGATGACAGACCCATAGCTAGTATCATACTGGATGGGGGAAAACTGAAAACGTTTGCTCTAATATCTGAAACATGACAAGGATGCCCGTTTCCACCACTGTTATTCAACATAGTACTAGAAGTTTTAGCTACAGTAATCAGACAAGAGAAAGAAATAAAAGGAATCCAAACTGGAAAGGAAGATGTCAAATGATCCTTGTTAGCAGATGATATGATCTTGCATTTGGAAAAACCCAAAGATTCCACCAAAAACCTATTAGAATTGATTAACAAATCAGTAAAGTTGCAGGATACAAAGTCAGCACAAAACAATCAGCATCATTTCTCTATGCCACTAGTGAACAATCTGAAAAAGAAATCAAGAAAGTAATCCCATTTATGATATCTACAAATACAAAAATTAGCCAGGTGTGGTGGCTGGCACCTGTAATCACAGCTACTGGGGAGGCTGAGGCATAAGAATTGTTTGAACCCAGGAGGCAGAGGTTGCAGCAAGCTGAGATCATGCCATTATACTTCAGCCTGGGGAATAGAGCCAGACTCTTGTTTGCAAAAAAAAAAAAAAAAGAAAAGAAAAGAAAAGAAAAAAAATAGGCCAAAACTATTATCTGATTCTCTAAATATGTGATTTTATAGTGGTCTAACTTGATCCAAGAGTTCCAAAATTTAGAACAACAAGAATAAATTATCACATGCACTTAAAACTTCATCTTGAAGAAATATGTTCAACTGATACCTAAGCTAAGATATCCTACAGCTAAGAGTTAACTCTTTGGAAAGCATTTGCAGATAATCTACACCACTAATTAAAGACAGATTGATTTATTTTGTGCCTAAACAAAGAAAAAGGCAAGATTTTAATACCTTAATAAAATTTATGGATTTATGCTTTAATAGGAAGCTCTGAAACTTACCCATCAGGTATGTAAAGGAAAGGTTGGCAGAAAAGGTCATGTATCTCAACAGCAGTATCAGATCCACTTAAACAAAAGATCTCAAAGTTTTGCATTATCGACCTTATACATGAGTATTTTCTACTAGAGAATTTTTAAAGCAGGTGTTATAAACTGCCTATTTAAACCATTTAAAACTTCTTTCCAGATTGCAGTCGAAGGATATCTAATTTTAATGAAGGTAACTACTTGGTCTACCTCCAAGATAAATTGAATTAAAAATGTAATCCCAAGTAACTAAATGAGTTAACCTGCTACATAGAATTTTTGTGATAAGCCAATTATATTTAGAGAATGCCTGCCAAAAAATAATGACTAGGTTTTCAGAGAAATTGATCTTGGGCCATTCTTACTGATGCAACTTTGAGAGCAGAGCCGCATGCCTACTGAGGAATGGCCAGTCTTTACAGTCACACTTTGTTGTCGGCACCAGAAGAGTCTCCCTTTTTATTCTCATGCTAGTAGAGCATCCAGCATTCAGATCAGTATTATGTCATTGAGAACTAAGGTAAACATGGAACCCAAATATGGTTCTATTTGCCCCTTCTAAAATTGTTACTATCAAAGAGAGTGTTCTTATTCAGCTAGACATGTGTGGGGGTTTCTATCTGAGCCTAAAGAGCTGACCAGGGCCCAGAATAGCAGCTGTTACGAGTTCTTATGGCCAAGCTCATTCCTTCCTGATGCAGAGTCAAAGACTTACCTACCATCTGCAAGAAACAGTCCTATCTGTCTTACATTATCCTCACACTTTGTGTGTTGTCTAGTGTCAATATTGGTGTCCCCACTTAACAGGGAGCCCATGCTAAGGTAGAGCCAATGGCTAGAATCACAGTCCATATGAGCTCCCTGCCTACCTCGGCAGAGCTTATCATTAAACTATGCTCATGCCTCCTGGCAACACATGAGATGGAGAAGCATCAATCACTTCTGAGTGAGCATAACCAATTTCCCCATTCTGCTGCAACTGTCAGAGTCTTTTGGCCTCATTCTGTTATTCAGGGCCCTGCTATTATTATTCCAGGAATCAAAGGGTGACAAGAAAAATAACCAAAAATTTATTTTGGTTTTTAACAAAGTAAGAATAAAATCATGTAGCAAAAGACAACCTACAATAATGTTAGCACTTGGAAATGGGGTTTTTTTGCAAGTTGATACTCTGAAATATGTCCTGAGGCTTTTCTTGGATAAGATCTACATACTGGTCTCTGGCCAAGTTGCTATGACTCATTGCAGGAGGCACTGAGGTCTAGGTTCTAATCTTCCAATACCTCTCTGTAAAGCAGCCTATCACACAGTGCTCTCGGGTTCTCTGAGCTTCTGAAGCAAGTGAAAAGGAGACACTGTTGCACTGATACACTCTAGGGAGTGAAGTGCCACCCCCAACATGCTGTCTTCCTTCTTATTCATCAATGCCTTCTGTACAAAATAAGCCAATGATAAATCCACATATATTGAGCTCCTGTTAAATTCAAAATGCTCTGCCAAGAAAGAAGGATAAGCCATTCTTCCCACACACAGGAAGCTAAAAGGCAAAGTTGGGGTAATATATATATATATTTACATATTATGCTGTATGTTATATATAATTATATATTATACATATTTAAAATAGATTATAAATGTATCTAAATATATTTTATAATATATTATATACAATATATATTATTACCCCGTATATATGATACACAAACCCATAGGTTTTAGACTGAGCCCTGGGCTTCATCACATGCTGCCTTAGTCACTTTGCTTAACACTAAACTACAGAGGGTGTTCAGCACAATGTTTGGTCCAAAGTAATTCCCTAACAAACTATAATTATTATTCATGGTCTAACATATATCAGTAACTCGTATAGACACGTAATTTAGACATTGACTCCTTCATAAGTCTACTTAAGCTGCAGAGGTGTGTGTGGGGGGGTGTGGGGGTGTGGGTGGGTGTGTATGAGTGAAGTCATCCCTTGAAATGTGGCAAAATTCCCATGACTTGTAAATATTATAGCAGGACTGGGTTCAAACCCTGATGCTATCTGGCCCAAAGCCAGATACCACCACAGAACACTGGTGCTACAGTCTGGAGTTACCCTGCCCAATATGGGAGCCACTAGCCAATACGGCTATTTAAATTTAAATTCTAATTAAGTTAAAAATCAAGTTCCTCAGTTGCACTGGCCACATGTCAAAGGCTCAAAAGCCACACATGGCTTATGGCCACAGTGTTGGATAATAGAGATATTATAACATACCTTTCAGCACCGAAAATTCTAGTGGGTAGCACCAATCTAGATATAAAGATGAAAAGAATAAACTATTTTTTACAGGCCAGAAAAATAATGGTATCTGTTAAGTTAAAGCAATGATAGAATGAAGAAAGTGATCATTCTGTATCCCTGGGTAAGGCTGTGATAATTACTCTGAGCATAATTAAATAAAACTCTCACTTTCACCTTTAGGTCTCTATTATGCAGGAGTTAGGAAGCAACTAAATTCCTAGAAGTTGCTGTTATCTGTCTAGTTAACATGCTTTCATCAAGCTCAGAGACGTGTTCTATTAATGTAAGTTTGTCTCCATTTCTTTAGTAAAATGCTACCAGTAAAATAAAATTGTGTGGAACAGTCAAACAAGGTGTTAGAAATATCACCATGGATGCAAGCCAGTATCAACTCCTTTGCAGGTTTACTTAAGATGTTAGCTCTTTTCTTTGGTGCTCAGTTATATACTTGTTTGTGTTTTTTTTTTTTCACTTAAAACAATAGTAGAAATAACTAAGTGTTTGAATTAGTCTCCTTTTCAAGAGTTCAGTTTAACGAGCTTTAAGAAAAAAAATTACTTGTAGAATAGAAACTTCATTTCATTTTTATTCATTTGCTTAATCAAGAAATATTTGCAAAAAAAAAGAGAGAAATATTTGTGTATCACCTGCTCTGTATCTATCTGCTGCTGGGATGGATGCTAAGGATGTAAAAATGACCCAAAATAAACTGGACCCCTAATGCCATGGCATTTATAGCTTCCAGTCTTCTCTCACCACGAAATATTTAGATTTCACTGCAAAAGATTAAAAAATGTATAGGAAATAATTTGACTGATATCTAGCAAATAATTACATTTCCCAAATACAACAAATTAATCATCACTGCAATATAAATTCTCGCTCACCATTCTCTCTTTCCTCTCCCTTACTATCCCTCTGCCTTATACTACAAGCCCTATCAATACTACACTTATTCTCAAAGAAAATTCAGGTATAAAGTTCTTATTTTTTTTCATGGATGGGGGGGAAAAAGTACAAAAAAAAACCCCACAATTGTTGGTTCAGTTTATACACTATGTAGAGATCCTAGAAATAGAAATATTGCCTGGCAAGGAAAGCCAGAACTGGACAGAGGTTAAGGTTGAAGTTGTGAACACAAATTTTATTCAGGAACAATTACAAAGGAGAAAGAAAACCAGGTTCAATTTCAAATATAGCAAGGACAAGTAGGGATTTATAGCCAAGGAGAAGGGTGACATCAGTGGATGGAAAATTACTGAGAGAAAACATCAGGTGTAATGGGGATTCTGGCTAAATCAGCTTCATAGGATTCTTGATGAAGGTAGGCCAGGATGATCACATACCCAAGGTTTTGGGGATGAAGAGTTTGTTTGAAAAACCACATTCAGATATTTGAAAGTCTGCTTCCTATTTCACTACATTTAAATTATAAATGCAAGTGAGTTGTTACCAATGCAGCATGCCAAAGCTGAGTTAAGTAGCCAGAAAGACTCTAAAAGTAAGAATCCTTTCATTTTATCAAATTTTGCCAATAAGAATTCTTAAAACGGTGAGCCTACAAAAGCCAATATGATTGAAGACCATTTCATGGTCTATGCAGTCAATTTGCATCTTCCTTATGGCCTGAAGACAAGCGGCCATGAGCAGTGAGCATTGTTAACTAGAGTTTAAGAAACCATGCTGTTTCTAAATGCAGTATAATGGAAAATTCCACTGAGAAAGAAAATCACAAATCAACCTAAACCAGTAAGATAATATTAAAAGGACAGAGAATGGACAATATCAGTAACTTCATTTTTATGTAACACATCTCTATCATGAATAAGCAAATTATCTTGGTATTATCTGAAAAACTAGGAAGAGTAAGGACACATGCTAAGCAAGAACTAGTCCTGTTAAGAATATTCAGAATAGAAGCTGCTAATCTTAATAGCAACTGTTCTTTTCAAAAACTGTACATTCAACATTCTGTGTGTTTTGACTTTGGTTAGAAGAGGTAAGAAAATAAGAAAATGACTACCTATTTAAATATGAAATAAAATAATGCAACAATTGTGCGTTTATTTCTTTCCCAGGACTTCAGACAATCACTTCAAATGCTGCCATAAAAAAGGAGAACATTTTGGTATAGGAAGAAGATTCATTTGTAAAGAAAGAGCAGGATGCAGTTTCCAAGAGATACAGGCAATACATTCATTTTTCTATGAGAAAAATACCACAGTTATGTTGCATTGACTATAGATGGCAAGACAACTAAAAGAGACCCACCAGACTTCTCCTAATGAGTCTAATTTTACCCTCAATTTTTCCTTTTCTAAATATGAAACTTGAATTTTTGTCTTCTTCCTTTAAACACTTTTGGTCATACGTTAGTGCTTTCCTGTCAAAACGTTGCCTTCTTAATCTCAAATTCATCAAGCTTTAAGTTTATTCTGAAAACATTTCCCATCAAATAAATGTTGTAAACTCTCTGGGCAGCTAACTTTGTTTGCTCCCAAATAGTTCTTACTAAAGTAGCCTTTCTTATTCATTTAATCATCCTGTCATCATAAAGTTCCAGTATTATTTTCTTACAGTTGAGTACAATGCATGTTTCTTCCCCCAAAGAATTCACAATTGACTTTAAAAGGTAAATAATATACACGTTGTGGTAAATAACAATAGAGATCAGTAAATTACACATTCACCAAAGACCTTTTTCTGGACAGCCAAGGTAATCAGAAAAGTCTTAGAAAAAGTGGGATTTACTTAGGTTCTCAACAAAGGAAAGACTAGAGTGGGAAGACATTCTATACAAAATAAAAGAAGAAATGATAACTGTTAGGACCAAAGGCAGAAATGACATACACATGTTATATTTCAGAAGGCAATGATAAGCCAAATTGGTTTATATACTCAAAGTATATTTATATGTCATACTTGACTGGCTCATCACTGCCTTCTGATAGCTGCAGGGAAAGGTTTTCAAAACTTTCTTAATGACTGAGTTTTACTGGCCTTCTTTCTAGAATGTTCAGGACTGGCAATAACTTCCCTTCAGTGATATAAGTACATTCACGTAAAAAAATTATTAGACCCAGAGAAAATGTTATTGTTTCTAAACAATATTCTATATTTAGGATCTTCAAAATCCAGGTAAGAAACAGTGAATAACTCATTCACTGCAAGTTTGGCCCCATCCCTCAGTACCAACGAAGAGAGACAAATCAAGATAGAAAGACATCATTACCGTCTCTATTGATAGTGGTATTATGTACTAATGAATAAACATAACTCCTTTACACAGTGCTCTACAGCTATTTCATATACTCATTTCATTCTTGCAATGACGCAAATTTAAGTGTTGTGTTTAAACCTAAGTTGGCACACGTTAATATCTCTACTTTACTAATGAAAAAAACCCAAGCTTAAGTTACTAATTCCTGGTCGCCTTGCTGTCCAAGGCCGAGCCACACATTTTAAACCTGACCTTTGGAAACCACAAGTGCTCTGCCACCAATGCCCCTAAGACCAGCAAAGATCCTAGAACTGTTTAGTACTAGCCGATGAAGTCACAGGGTTCTTTTGTTCAGATTCTTCCCTAAATGACATCACCCATGGCTATAATGCAGAGCTACGTTAATCATCCCAATCAACTACACAGCCAATTAAATAAGAATACTAAATACGAATATGAGAATGTCATACTTGACTGTTCTATAATCCATGCCATCACTATACACTTCTGTCTGGTCAATTACACAGCTCATTCATAACATCATTCACAAGGGGCTGGATCGCCGTAATTCCTCACCAATGCAGGGAGATGAAAGTTTTCCTGACGTATAATCAGTAAGTTGTTTTTAATAAAAGTACCTGAAGATACAAATGTAAATATATTTCCACCTAGAAACATGTTCTATTATGATCTTGTATACATACAAAAGACCTTTGTTGTACATTTCTTCCATTAACTGTCCACTATACAACATTTACAGAAATAGTGGTTAGGGAACCACTCAAGTTGCTGCTACTTTGCAAAATGATAAAACAACATCAGGTTTTGGAAAGACGTACCCAGCACACATTAGATCTCCTCTTATCTGAGTGCTTACCTTGAGGTCCACACAGCAAGGTTAACTCTCCACGTAAAATTAGAGGGTTGAAATACACCTGTCTTGGCATTGTAGTCACCTACTGAACCATATCTACAGAGTGCATGCTGACAACAATGGCCAAGGAATATCAGAATGTCTCCCCCTGGAAAAATCCATACAATATAAGAGTGAGAAAGAGAGAGGGAATGGTAGACTCCTAATTAAAGTTTGAAAGGTTTCTTAACTTTCTTAAAGACTAATAGCACAGCAAAGATTGATTTTCAAAGGGGATCATTAATTTTCCTTAATTTTAAACTAAATCTCAAAGTATATTTTATTCATATTCAGAAAAGGATAAATGGAAGATCAAAAAGCAATAATGCAGACCTCACCAGTGCCCAGCCCCTGAGGGAACCATTGCATTGCATTTTTTATGTCAGCCAACCTTTTCTTTTTAGTATTCATGAAAACTTAGCAAATAATCACATTGAATTGATTTCAGGGACATATATCCATTGCTTCCTGCCTGAAACGTGAATCTCAAGCATGGTTATCTGACACAGGAATGCCCTTTCATTTTGTCTTCAGTAAGAGCAACTGTATAGAACAAGTAAATGAGCAACCCAATGAAATCTCCCATCCCACAATCTGCTCTTGCCTTGCTATTCAATTCATCTCCCTTCACCTGCACAGGGCTTCTGTTCTCCTTCAAAGCAAGCTCTGGGACTACGGAGGAAAATTCAGGTATAATGAACAGAAACCACTTCACTTGTTAGCCAAGAGGATATTTAAGGTGCTGAACAATGAAAAGTTAATACAATTTACTATTCAGTCTCCATAAATCACTTCTAAGTTTAACATCTTAAAGATCCTATCAGACACCATGCCCTGCGTTTATGCTGTTTATCCATATATCATTCACGAGTTTGATGATGACATGCTGAGAAAAACAATATATTACAATGCAAGATTGAATCACTGCTATTTATTTTCACTTTATAAGACAGATGGCTAAGAGATAACTTGTTCAAAGGAAGGCAAAAGACAGTCAAATGTCATGGGCTCAAGATAAGCCAGCTGGCACTATCAACCACACTAGGCAGGCTACCAATTTATAATTCAACTGTTGGAATGTTTATCATTGAAATGTTCAACTTCCTGGAGCAAACATTGACCACTTCGCCAGTAATAGGAGCCAAAATGCTATTATATTCCACTTAGGGGTCACAAAAAGATAAAAGGCTAAGCAACCCATCTTATACAAACTCTCACATTTGTCCACAAGGGGCTTCATAATGGGGTAGCCACTTGCAAGTAAATGTGATGTGCTCTGATTTGGAGTACTAAGACTTCGTTTATTCCCATGGCCAAGAGGCCTGGGTTTTCTTTAACTAAAATCATTCTTTTAGCTTAAGGTGTCATTCTCTACAATGCGTTTTCTAAAATGGGCATATGTCTGACTTAGTATGATTCATGCTGAACCAATTTAAAAAGTATTGACTTGCTATCACTCAGCAAAGCAGGAACTGGACAGGCGTTTTTAGGAGACAGCCTGTTTGTAAATTTTCAGAGTTCAGAACACTAAAGGGGAGAGCACCGGGTGAACTGTTAACATTGGGTCCTTGTGCAGCCAAAGAAGATCAAGAGAACATATAGTTCTTGGAGTAAGGAGACACTGGAAGTAGACAATTAAAAAAAAAAAATAGAGAGCCGGGCACAGTGGCTCACATCTGTAATCCTGGCAACTCAGGAGACTGAAGCTGGAGGATCACTTGAGGCCAGGAAGTCAACACTAGCCTGGACAACATAGAGAGACCCCATCTCTATTAAAAAAAATTAACCAGGCATAGTGGCAAGTGCCTGTAGTCTCAAATACTTGTGAGGCTGAGGTGGGAGAATTGCTTGAGCCCAAGGAGAAAATTAGAAAGGTTCTTACTTTTGGCCTACTTTTGAATTTTGTCCCAGCCTATAATAATTATAAAATTCAAATTTCCCCAGAACTGATGAACTGCAAGATTAAAAGAGAACCACCACACACAGTGAAAAGACTAACCCCAGGTAGGAAACAAGGAGACCAAAGAAAAACAGCATGTCAAGTGGTTTAGAAATAAAGTTCAGGAAATTCAATATTCAATGTTAATTTTCCCATGAATCCCTTATATTGTTTGCTTTTTTGTCTTTAGCCAGCTGTGCTTTTTAATAGGACAATTATTTGCTATTCAGATGTATTCCAATTATTTCTTAAAAAGAAAAGTTCTATAGGATTATCAAGTTGTCCATTTGAGAAAATTTTTCTCCACTTTTTATTGCCTCATGAAGCATCCACAATGTGATTTTGATGATACATTCTTCATCTTCATTAATAACTATCATGTTAACAAGTAAAGATGTAGATTGTTTGTAGCTTTAGTTCAAGGAGAGAGAATGAGAGCTAAATAAACTTGATATGAATTGGAAATTGGATGACATGAATAAGGCCACAGGGTAAGCAGTTTCCAGAGCTGTGGCCACAGAATGAATGACTCAGACATGAGTGCTCAGTCACAACAAGGTGCAGCACAGCCTGCCTCCACTGAAGACGGGCTTTTTAACTTCCAACAAAGGCCTCCAGCAGCTCATTAGCTGGGAATACTCTGGAGAGGAACACAAGGAGCTGTTTCTTTTATTATTCCCTTGAAGAAGCCAAAATACGGTTTTCAATATGATGCAGACTGGAGACACTGATTTATTCAACTGATTGTTTTAATGTAAGCTAGTTACTTGTGCTTTTAGTACAAAGTACTTTGAGATTTGTGTGTGTGTGTGTGTGTGTGTGTGTGTGTGTGTATGGTAAAATTCTCCATTGGTGTGTCTGGGCCTCTTCTACCTGCAAGTATAATCAATAGGGAAAGATACTTGGTGACTTTTCTGTCTACAAAATTGAACTATGCCGCCATATTTATTTCTCATCAATCTCTTTTGATGGGATTATCGACATGTGTGTAAAAGTGACTTTCCTAGCTTGATTCATTTTTACCTCTTCTTTAGATGAGGAAAGCATCAAATCCCTGATGAAAACAGTGCAATGACACTACATTGATTATAGCATGCTTACTTACTACATTATTCATTGTGTTCTCTAGATGAATCATATGTTTTCTATTTTTGAAATTTCCCTGGAAAAGGTTAAGTCATAATGGCTAAATCATAAATGCCCCTCAGTGCTTACCTGGAGAGAAGCGGAAAGTGACTTTCCCACTACAATGCCCTGGGAAATAAGGGAATGACCTACTTTTCACCAAATCAAATGATGTTGTTTTTCTATCCTCATCCTTCTTAATATTTTTGGCATATCAAACTGTTTACCACCCTCTCCTTGCCAAAGAGCTTCCCTTGGCTGATGTGTAACACACCAACTTAGTCTTCCCGCTTCAAAAACACAATTGCTTCCTTCTCCACATTTACACACTGACCTTATTCCATGTCCCATTCTCTATCTGAGCATGTTCCCCCAAATCCAATCATCAATCTAACAGTCTTCTCTGACACTTTAAGAAAATACATCCTTGATTTAGTCTCAGTCATCACCTCAGTGTATTTGAAAATCAAATCCTTCTTGACAACTCATCCTTCACCCAATTCTAGGAATGTATCTTTATCATTCTATCACATAGATTTTCTAGAAAAAAAGAATGAGGCTGTCATTCTTAACAGAACAACATATCCAAATGATTAGCTTCCCAAATGTGTTATTTTTCTATGGCCCTCAGGAAAATAGTACAACCAGAAAATTAGTCAAAATAGAAGCAATAAAATATCAGTTTCACAAAGGATCAGGCTATATTTTTCACTGTATTCATTCTAAATCAAAATCACTAGGGTTCATAGGTGGCAGAGATATTCCAGTTTCTATGAAATTTTACATGTGAATTATATGCCCTGACATTCCATATCTCCCCTTCCTGACCTTGAAATCAAGACTTCACTCTCAAAGTAGGGTCTTTTATAGAGAACACTGAGCACAGAGGTTGCCTTAACAAGAAAGCAATTCTAATTCTGTCATAAATTAAAGGCAGCACTTCAGAGACTGGAGCATAAACTGCTGCCACTCCATTCCTGAGAGAGATCAAACGATCCTTCCAGTAAAACCTGTCTTTTTATTACCAGGAACTAGAAGTTTAACAAA